AGCTTGCAGGACTGGCCTAGGGTAATTTTTAGGGGGGTTTTAATTATATTTTAAATTCGACAAATATTTAATATTCCTTTTAATTAATTTTAAATTTGTATTGTTTTGTATGTATTTTAAATAGATTGTCAGCCGCCCTGAGTCCTACGGGAGAAGGGCGGGATATAAATTCAAATATAAATAAATAAATAAATAAAAATAAGAGCTTACAGTGTAAAGATCAGGCCAGTGAAGTACCGCTATTTCTCTTATTGTATCATTGGTTTTGTTGTTCAGCAGTGCTAGTTAAGATGGCCTGCTCCGTGACTTTTGGAACAAGGTTAAAAAATGGCTAGAAGAAATACTAATGACAGAGGTAGAGTTAAAACCAGAACTCCTCTTACTAGGTATTACCACGCAGAAATACGATAAAAGGGGCACTTTATTTAATGTTACATATTTTCACGGCTGCCAGATTGGCCTACACACAAAACTGGAGAAATAAAGAAATTCCAACAGAAGAAGAGATTCTATATAAAATCTTATCGTGTGCTGATATGGATAGGCTTACTATGGAATTAAAGGACAAGACAGAAATGGACTATTTTGAAATCTGGGACAAATTTTATTGCTGGTACGAGTCAAGGAGAACTGTTCGGGTTTTAAGTTAGTGTTAAGATTGTGGTATATAAAATTGTATGCTAGTATATAGAGAAACAAATTTGAGACTGTATTATATAGGAAAATATGTATATATAGAGATTATAAATAATATGTATGACAAGGAACAAATTGTTAGGATTATATATACTGGAACGACACATTATGTCCTTTTTTTGTTTTAACTGTTTTATTAATAAAAAACTTTTTATAAAAAAAAAAAAGATGGCCTGCTCCTACTGGGGAGAGATAGGCAGAAAGATCTGCCAATCTGCGTAGTGTTTTGCTGATAAAGTCATTCAAATTATTGGTGTTTTTTCTATACCTGGCCAGTATCTGAAATTGTAAATGGAGCAAAGTCTTGTTCAGTGATATAAAATTCATTTCAGCTCATGAACTCTGATAAAGAAGGGTGCTTTAGCCTGTGACTTAAATGTATGCTCCTTTTGGGTCCTTTCACTAGGGGACAGGGATTGAGTGATTAGATCGGTAAATGACTATGACTATCTAGGAGGGTTGGTTATACTAGGTGTCAACGCTGCTAACATCGGATGTTTTTGCATTGACAACAAATGGAAATGTGGCCATCTTTTACCTTTTGCTTTTAGAGTTAGATGATGCTGGGAGGGGAAATATGGGCGAGAGTCAAGATAGACATAACAACACTGGACCCAGTGTGGGAAACAAGGTTATTGTAACCAGAGCTGATAAGAAATTGGTGGGCTGGAGAACTGGCTTCAAACTAATTGGGGAATGTGATTTATGACTGTTAATTGGAGGAGGGAATTGTGCTGTGATACTATGTGCTCAGAGGAGGGGAAATTAGTTTTTGGCTTCGATTATACCAGTGCCAAAGCTATGCTACTCAAAATAAAGATTCTTTAAGGTAAACAATGCCTTGAAGTTCTTTGGAGAGTTTCATCTGTCGGAACCATGACATTAGGTACCTTAAAAGAGGCAGTCAAGCAGACATTGTTGAAGAGGTCTCCCCTAGATCTGGCTACATTAAACACTGGCTCATATTTAAGTGATTGTCCACTAGGACTCCGAGATCCCTCTCACAGTTACTACTATTGAGCAAGGTACCACCTATACTATATCTGTACATTTGGTTTTTCTTGCCTAAATGTAGAACCTTACTTTTTTCACCACTGAATTTCATTTTATTAGATAGCGCCCAGTGTTCAAGTCTGTCCAGATCCTCCTGTGTCTTAAGCCTATCTTCTGGTGTGTTGGCTATTCCTGCCAGCTTGGTGTCATCTGCAACTTTGATGCGATCCCCATCTATCCCCTCGTCCAAATCATTGATGAAGATGTTGAAGAGCACTGGGCCTAGAACAGAGCACTGGGGCACCCCACTACACACTTCCCTCCATGTAGATGCAGTTCCATTGAAG